CAATACATCTGCAAATGTATATACTAACATATATATATGTAAAAAACACGAAGGCATTAAAAATGCAATGTTCAAGCGACGGTGTGTACGCGTAATATACAAACACAGTATTACTGTACATTTGTGTGTACTTATAATGTACTGAATATTGTATATTTATAGATGAAAATATAGAGAGAGAGAGAGAGAGAGAGAACACACACATACATACATACATACATATAAGTGTATATCTTCAGGTACGATAAGTAGAGTAAGAGAGAGAAGGAAAGGAAGATAGAGAGAAAGGTGGAAAGGGGTTGACGTCGAAACGAACATTGTGCGCACGCCATAACGTAGCAATAACAGTGTTCCATTATATGTAGGTAGACCGGTGAGAGGGAGAGGGAGAGGTGGTGGTGGTGGGAGTGGTGGTGGTGAGATTGCAAAACATGCCTAGATTAATGTTTTCTCATTCCACGGACCGCTTGTACAACCTCCATTCCCCTCGCTACTGTGATTCGTTCGCCAACCGCTACCCTTCCTAAGCCACGTTCCACCCCAGAATCACGGTAGCTCTGTCGCGTGACAATGAAAACTACGAATTGCATTGCATTTCTACCTTTCCATAACTACCCCTCCTTTCCCTCCACATCCTTCGCCGCCGTCATCTCCCTGTCTTCTATAGCAAGACCTCTTCGCCACTCTCTTTCCATCTTTCTCTCTTCTAATTCTTCTTCGGCTGTTTCCTTCCGTAATTAATGCGTGAAAAGTTTCATCTTTAGGTAATCTCGGATATAGCTTGTTAAAGAACCATAAATACAGCGGAACTTTCCATATCGGAATAGAGAGACAAAGGTATTCGGTTAATAGAATTTTTAGATGATAGAACAATAATAAATCGGAGATCGAGAAACTTGTCAGTTTATTTCAGATATTTAAGAACTGTTATATCTTTTTTATCGTTGAAATTCTTTTTTTTTTTTTTTTGCATAAGTAATTCGGTAGACATTACATTCTTTTTGTACTCCGAATCATCGAAGTCCATTTCTCGGCGTAGACCACAAGTCTTTTTCAGTTTTTCACAAGCTGCTTCAATTTTTTTCGTTAACGTTTTACTTTGTATAAAAGAAAAATTGTATCTGCTAAATCTTCGCCATTCATAAATGAAACGTTACGTTTTCTCTTATGTTTATACTTTATCAATATCGTTTATTTCAATAAAATCTCGTATCTTATATTTCTTTTGAATAGTGAGTAAGTACTTTGTTGTAATTATGAAATATAATTGCGCAATATAATATAAAATAAATTAATAGAAGAAAAGACATTTATTACTAGTAAATATCCTGTTCGAACAACAGAACATTCGGATAAGGAAGACACTGTTGTGACATGTTCCTCGAATGTGTATAATTACTATTTGCCAGCAAAATGATCACAGTGCAGAAAGTATGTACATTGAAACTAGAGCGGGTACTGTTTCCATGGAAATAAATAAATATAAATAAATATGAAAGGAAAGAGAGAGTTCTTTTTTTTCCATCGTTATGTCGAGCATACTTCAGCTAGAAGAAATCTATTCATTAGTACCATCTTCTCCCGGGGCTGAAGGTGAACAAGCGGGAAGTGAAGGAGAGTAGTCTGGACTCCGAGAATTCCCTTTTATTCGCATTATTATGGTAATGACACTGAAAAGCCGAAAAATGTCAGGCTTTTGTAACAGAAGGTTTGTCCGCCTGGTCCATTCATTGATTACGCCCCGCCTCCCCCTCTCACCCTGCCTCCCACCCCTTCCTCACTAGACGGAGCTTGTATTTGTCGAGCAACCCTCTAGAGAAAAGTTAGTGGCTATTCGTACCTTTGGACAATGTCTCTACCAGCTTGTGCTCATCGATGTCGAATAAAGAAAAATATACCCTATTTGTTTCGCTTGTATATATATTTCATAAGCATATAAAATTTACATATATGCATACATATGTTGGAAAACGACGCTGCTTTAATTACTGTTTCGTTTTCTCAACAGCACTTTCTTTTTCAATTATAATTGAATAACTGTACGGGAGGATTAAATTGTACAGCTTATAAATAGAATAACAGTGATTTAATAAAGGATAGTGTTTCATTATGGGTATCCAGGCAATTTTTTTCATGCAGTATGAACTTCACGTATGAATATCTTTTTCACGCACGTTTCATACACTGGGTCTTATTACTTCTTTGATAAAAAGAATATTCGGGGCAAACATCCGGGATTTTTTGTGAAATGTTTTTCGAGGAAACGTGATTTTATTAATAACTATATTACGGCAACGTTGATTTTTATCTTATTAACTTTATGAATATACTCCGTTCTATTGACCAAAGTAGAAATAATTCGATTGAAATGCAGATAACGACCGAGATTTTAATATCTCTTTCTAAATCATAAAATTCCTCTTTATTCTCTATTTGAATCGAATGTTAATTATTAAATATTATTCGAACGAAACAAATAATTTACTTCTCTTAACACGGATAGAAAATATCGACTGTCAGGTAATCACGATAATAATGTAAGAGTCAACGTTATTTAGCTACGTTGAAAAAGATACCGAAGCACAAGTTGAAGTATGCTCGTTACAATTAGAGCTGCTACGGCAAAGAACAGAACGTCTCTGGAGATCAGAATAAGCGTGTCGACTCGATCGTATGAGCTGGTAAGTGAATTACCGATAATTAGAGGATGGTTTTACGAAGAATGGGGAAATTGGATGCGCGCCTTTCTGAATCTTTGTTAATCAGTTCCATTTTGCAAAGCATCACTGCCGCAGTTCCCTCGACGACTGAATCGAGAATTCCAGGGCCGCCGGTTCCTCTAGAATTTCTCATCATACCTCGTACGTTCAATGTTACCCTTCTACTTAAATCACTCGTCATATGAATCGTTAATTAATCATTCTTTCTATAAAATTAAACTACCTTGAATTTTCGTCATGTCAATTTTATCGATTATTTGTTTAAAGTAATTTCTAGCTTGCACAATATCTTCGTTGTATTTTGCGTGATATTTGTAGTACAGTTGTCAACGTATTATCAAACTAAATCATGTAATTTTTACTATATATCTGATGACACTTAAACATATAATTCTAATAAGTTTGTCCTTTCGATTTGAATTGCAGTGAAAATTATCATAAATGAAATATTTGCTCGATATAACTATCATACTTTACTAAAACAAATAACAAAATTAAATATTCAAAAGGATTTTTCTCCCTCTCTCTCTCTCTTTCTCTTTTTTTTATAATAACTTTTCTTGTATCAAATATCATTTGAGAATTATATTTCAATGGCAACTGATTACGCGTTGAAACTCGAGTAAACTCCGATTAATAGCAATTAAGACAAGGTTTGATATTACTTTCACGCGAAAAGAGATTGACAAAATAAACAGAAACATATGCACTAAGAGAAAAAGGATAGCGAACAACTACCAATGGAAGTTCATTGCTGAATAATTTTAGTTTATCGCGGAATTGCGGCCCTGGAGAGTGGATCTAGCTCGGTCCGCATCCGCAGAAGGGTGGTTTTAATTACCCCTTCCATTACTGCAAAACCAACCCCGTTAGTGGATTCATTTAGTCACATTACCAGACCGCCCTCCTCTCTCTACCAATCCTTCCTCTTTCTCCTTCCCTGGGTCTTTCTCTTTCGTTAACTAGTGGTTGGTGCATGTTTCAAACCAATATTCTGTCTCTCTCTTTTCAACTTCTTAATACAACTCGTACATCTTCGCATGCGTTGAATTATTACACTAAGAGCAGTATATTAGTTTCACTATAAATTGCATTCGCCGATTTTTTTGCATTCAACCATCATAATTACGAAGTCTTTATGAAATTTGGGTTTTATGTTTATTAACGTTTATATTTCGAATGATTACGAAAGTATTTTTCAAGTATTTTTCAAAATTAATAACATTTTATTGGATAAAACATATACGTTACTTTATACCGTAAAATCACATGCAAAATTTTAATAAAATCTGGGCGTTTCTTGCAATATACCTGCTTTTTATTAAGCAAAAAATTTTAACAGATATTGAAAATGTCTTCTATGCAATATTAAAGTTAATATTTCTGATGATTACAGAAATATTTTATGATACGTTTCAAACGAAAATTAATAATGTTATTTGATAAAACATTTTCATCTTTATTCAGTGACAATGAAGAGAATATAATAGATCGAGATTTATATATTTGGAAATGACAAATTTAATAATTTATCATTGACATATGAAACATATACATATATTCATAATTAGATATAATAATATAGACAATAATTTTCAAGATGCTCAATTCAAACGTATTTGCTTTAAATTGCTCATTGAATTTATTAAAAGTAATTTCCTTGCTAAAAATTATAAAGAAATTTATAAAGAAATAAAAAATGCTTTAAAATTATCAGAATTTCAAGTATTCTAGTTTAAAGATTAAAATGTACTAAATAATTAAAACACAGCATTTTTGCATAAATTTCTTTGATATAAATAAATTTTATTATTATTAGTTTAGTCACTTTATTGTACTGATATGCAAATTTATTATTAAAAGTAAAAAATGCCTGTATTTGAATGAGCATTTGAATCAATTCACTTAAAAATTCAATTAAGTGAAATATCTACGTTGTAAAAATATACAACAATACATATATAGAATTATCTAATTCATCTGCACAATTTGTATATACAGATGTAAAATGCTCTCAGTGCGCACATTGTATGCTACAGGTAGTTATTCAAAGAATAAGGTAGTTATAAAAGGAACTTTGATTTCGTACATAAACGAATATAATTATTAAAATTAAATAATATGTATATTAATTCGAAATAAAAATAAAATAATATTAACATTCACCGATCCTATGTCTAATCAGCTAAGAATAAATTTTATTTCATTTGGCGAAAATTTTACGTAACAGTTTCAAAATCCAAAAAAATCAAAGATTTTATTAATAAAGTAGTTACTTACCTTAATTCATGTTTAAAGCAGATGTCCGAAATGATGCATATTGACGTTGATGCACTGCTGATGCATCCAAGGTTGCACGGTTCTCTCTCTCTCCGTCGCGATTGATAAAATTTCTGAAACATTGATCAAAATAATTAATTTTGTTGAGAATATTCTCCAGTATACACAATATTTAATAATATTTGTAATAAGTTTTTTGATTTTAATCTTAAAAAAGTATTAAGTGTGAATATCATCTATTATCATAAAAGAATATAATGAAGAATATCATTTAATCTGTAAGTCCAACTTCTGCTCAAAATTCTTAGAATACTTTTTGTTTTTTAAATTCAGCATTCATTGTAGATAAAATTTTTTACAGATTCTTTTTTTGCATAAATTATTATTTCCAGGTTTGAAAGAAATGTAATGTTAATCCGAAGATTTTTGAGCGAGGATGTATTATAAACCGTTCATGAGAACTGCTTCAAATTTTCATTCATATTTGCTATTGTTCAATTATTCTTAGAATTTTTTATTACTAATATATAAAACAAGAATGGACTAAAACGAGAGACTATTGAATTTGACCTCTATTTAGTTCTAAATGTAAATTCGATTAAACGAAATCCTAAAATAAGATCAATGAAAATAACTAGTACATATTAATACATATTAACTTACACGTGGCGAGATATAGGCAAAATGTGGAGGAAAAAGAAAGAAAAAGACAGGAAAAAGGGGAGGAATAACAGTAAAAAGGGAAAAGAAGAGAGATGACGAGAGCATGATAGAAGAGAAGCTGGCAATAGAGTGGTTTCTTGGAGGGTAGAGGGTGCATACAAAATGCGGTTTCCTCGAGCAGTACCGTCTTCGAACTTCTGAAGCTGAAGGCCTTTAGCAGCCCACCCTTCAGCTAGATTGGATGCGTTTAATTACCCCTGAAATATCGTTAATTACTCGGCCTCCGAGCAAGTTCGAGCACGGTTCGAAGTTGGAAACACACGAATTTGGTTGTTCCTTGTACAGACTCGTCCTTTTCCAACCTGGTTTCCTCGATTTACTGATCCGTTGATTCGCTGATCCACCGATCCACCTACCCAACGATCTACTGGATTTCAGCTCTTTTGTCCTCATTATCTCGACCGATGCGCTTTTCATCTTCCCTTCCACTTTCCTCTCCTCTTGCTTCCCTGCATCCGTTCTTTATCCGTCCGCCTTCCTCTAATCTTCTGTAAGCCACTTTATACATACATACGTCTGTAAAAACACCACTATCACCTACTATCAACGAATGCATTTCTATAATTTCGAATAATCTCACTCGAGCGAACGATAAGAGTTATCGATCAACTCTAATGCAAAGAAATACAATTGGAAAGTGATTTGTAATTTGAATAAATAGTTCTTGGATTGTTGTTAGTATGTCATTTTATTACATTGGCATTTTAAATATTAAAAAAGGGATTTTATTTTCAATATGTTAAATATTTTCGCACAATATATACGTTCTATAGATTTTTAGGATCTTGAATTTCCCAAAAATGCATAAACATTCGTAATTTGTTCATTATAGTTCAAAAATTGATACATTTTTTGATAAAAATTGAATAATCTTTTAATTTTGCTGTCAAGTGCATAGGACAATAAATATTACGAATTTTATCACTCTGTTACTACTGAAGTGAAACCCTCTGGTGATAAGTAATTATAACAATAATCGATGAACAAAGTATCAAGTAATTGGCATGATTGAAACGTAGAAACTTCGTTCGTTACATATCCTCTTTTCCATGAGGCTAACCCTTTCAGTTTGTGCCACGGAGAGATTCTAATTAATCAACTGGCCAATGTCCACACTCTATCTCGAATAAATGAACGCATTCAATCAATAGATTCTTTTGAAGCGTGTCACTTCTTTTTTCAGTATGACACATTAAAGTATATTAAGTCTAAGTGGATGCTTGGGCAACTTAATTTGTAACTGATAACAATGCGATTGGTTAGAAATTGATAAAAAATGGCCAATATTAAAACGGAGATGTAAAGAAGAAATTGTACGTATGTATGTATGACAATAAGTCATATAGGTAAGAATATTTATTTTGTAAAAAATTGTAAATGCAAAAATAAAATTTATAACTCACATAGATTCGTGAAGTTCAGTCATATAGATGTACACAATATAGTACATGGTATACATACACATATTGTAAACGATTATTTCCTACATGTTAAAATATCACAAAATAATTACTACATGAAAATAGTTTTAATCTTTCTTTTTTTACGTTCTTATACGTAATTATATTACATTACATTAAAAAACTAAGAAAATATAGTGAATGAGTAAATGTCAACTAAGAAATAGGTAAGATTAATTATGTAGTAAATTAATAAAAATAAAAGTAATAAATAAATAATAAAAAATAATAAAATAAAAGTAATAAATAAATAATAAAAAATAATAATAAAAAATAAAAAAACCACACTACTTTCATGCAGATTAAAAAATACATTAATAATATACATTATTATGCATTAAATTAACATTAATACCTATTTAGCATGTACCTATAGATATTTACAAAAATATAACAGATCATGGATATTAAGATGTTTCAGTAATATTTACAACAAATATATCACAAATATCATGCTCCCCGTATTTTGAAATGTATCTATTTTATTTGATCTTTTAATCATCCTTATTGTCCACGAAACAATCAAACGGTCAACCAGATTTGAACAGCGATATCATCATTCTTAGTACTGTATGAATACTAACTGGCGCTATACCCTAAGAGGGTGGTTAAACGAATGTTAACGAGACCGTAAATGGAACAACGCAGTGTACAGGGGCTTGATTAAAATATTAATTGAGATGGAAATAATGATTCGTTGCGGTTCGGTGATTACATCGCCCTACTGTACTTCGTATCTTTGACTTTTTAATATATGCCACTGAATAGATTCTCAACCGTGATCAATCTAACCAATGAATCGCCTGATAATAGAGAGCAATGTTGTTTGCTCATTTGCATATTTAATTTTCATCGTTATATGACCAACAAATTATTCTGGACTGCTACTATAAACTATAAACTATAAAATATTATTGATATCCTTCATATCATATCAAATATTATTGATATCAATCATATCTAGATTGCGGATGAATTCATTATTCAGTTAATTTAATTTAATTAATTATTAATTTATCCATCGTGGATTTATAAATCACAAAACATTGCAATTGATATAAATAATTCAAACACATTAAATATATTTAATGAATGAAAAATTCCTACTTGGATTTCACTCTTTTAATTTTAATTTATAAAAATATGAAATTGCATGAATATTTGCAATCTATTCATATCTATACAGCAATATTTATAATTATCTGAATTTTAATGTAGTAGTCTATAATCATTAACATATTAATCCAGGTGTTTATGCTAATTGCAATATTGTTTCTTGTTAGTATAGTTTATACTATAATTAGTAATTCACAGCATAGTTAGTAGCTTGTAATACCTATAATTTATAATGTGGTTTGATAATTTATACAATTAATATTCGTCATGAAAAAACAATTTTAAATATTCATTTCACATCGTTGATTAAATCGTATCTCTCCAGTTTGAAAGTTTATGGCACCTTAATATCAGATATCAATTGATGCCCATTTCCAATTGATTCACCGAGCAATTAATGATAACATTCCATTCATAAGCAAAACATAAAAGGACGAACGAAAACAGAATTTGAATGGTAATCTCTTCATGTAATCTATGATCTATTGTGAAAGACGTTAGAAGGGGTGGTGGTAGAGGGTAAACAATTGAAAAGAGAGTCATTGTCTGGGAACCGTTGAAAACATAAGGGAACAGTTGGGCGTCCATTAAAATCACCTTTTATGAAAACTAATCACATAGGCCGCACATGCTCAACTGACTTTAGGGTGCGTCAATACCACTATATTTTATTATTTGGCATTTTGTAATCTTCTTCGCAATAAAAAAAGTTATTTGTTAAATGTACTCGTCTTATATTCCTTTGTATTTACTTTTAGTTCTATTTTTTTATGTGTTCAAAAGTACACGGCCGTGCATAAATAATTGGACACTTACGATTAATGCAATTCCATTAAAAACCTTGATATTTTTATTATATTTCGATAGATACAGGAAATTATTTAATAAAGTCACTTCCTCTGCACGTTTTTTAAACTTCATTATAATTATTATAATAAAGACACATACTTGGCTATAACTATATAACCTATAAACATACTTAACCACCACACCAGTGTATTCACACTGATTTGTCGAATCTTTTCAAGTGCCACGCTATATATATATATATGTATGTCTCCACTCTTTCTCTCTTTCCCTTTTACTCACCCTCGCAAACAGTTCAGCCCACACTCCCTACATAACACTTTGGTACAATATGCCTTAAGCTTGTTGACATATTACAAATAATCCTTCTCAAACAAGATTTACAAATTTCGATATGATTAAAGTTAGAAAATTGTGGCACCTTATAAAATACTTGCGCAATTGTGAAATAAAATTTGCATATTTCGAAATAAATGCATTAAAGTGACATAATAATTTATCAAATGTTTCAATCTTATAATAATTATATAGTTAAATTTTGAATTTTATTTAATAATCGTTTTTGACTATGATCATGAACTATCAACTAGATTATACACTATTAACACAAGCTAGCTGGGAGCTACATGGGAGCTTTGACTCAAGTCAATTAGGAAAAAGATTTCAATTAGTTACTGCTAGTAATTAATAATAATAGTAATAAAATAGTAGTAATATTTTATTACTATAGTAATAATAGAAAAATAAGAGGTTTGTAACTATAGATTAATCTATTAATTAATTAATTACCATTTTATTACTGAAGTTAGATACTAATTAAATCAATAATATTTATAATGAGTTGGAAAAATCAATTAATTGACTGCATCAAAAGCGAAGAAGCAGAAGCAGAAGTAGAAATAGTAGTAGAAAAGGGGTAAGGAGAATAAGGAAAATTCCTATTGGACTCTCGTTTTCTGGAAGAACGATTCGCGAATCTGAGTTTCCCAGCGAAGCTACCGATTCTAAGCATCCAGGGACGAAAAGCAACTATGGTAGGAGGCCAGACACGGCGATCGGTTCGAACAATACCCATTGTCCAGCATATCATTTTCACGATTTTCCATCGGTCGACTTTCAACCGAGGAAGACTTCGTTCGGAGCCACCGATGAATATCGTTCCTCGATTTTCACTACTGCTACAGTACCAGCACCTTCTCGTTTCTCTTTGGTAAACCGCTCGAGCGGATAAAACGAACACAATGCCTTTTGTTTCTCATCTTCAACGCCTATCGATGCGGAGATTCGTCATCCTCGAAGAATTGATTTTTTGATCAGTTTTTCGAATCCTCTTTTCATTGATTATAATCAATTTCTCAACAAGTACTTATATTCTTATTCCTTCGTTTCCCTTACTGTTTGTACTTACTGTTTGCTTAGGTGTTTTGTGAAATTCTTTAATTTTGTGAAATTCTTTATGAAAATTGGCTAAAAGTGTTTGAGGATTTTATATTATAATGTACTTGCATAATACTTTATAACATATTATTAATAATTATAATATTATCGTAATATATTATAAAGCATTATTATATATGTGTTGTATTTGTACAACAATTGTATTTTGTAATTATAAATTATATATATATTTGTATATAATAATTATATTATCTATTACATATTATTTTACTGTTATTGAAACATAACAAGTTAGAAATTAGTTCAGTCTTATTGTTTTAAAAATATAGATCATCATATTTATAAAATACGATGTAAATTATTAAAAGAAACATATATTCTTTTTTTTATTTTTGAAATTATTCAATAGTAATGTAAATGTGTCTGGCCAGAAACATTTCAATATGAAAATTCGAAAAACTTAAACAATTATTAAATAAAAACTCTTCTCAAATACAAGAAGACTTTATTTTATAATGTAACATGATTCAAAAAACCATTTCCTATCAAATTTATCTAAAGAGCATCGAATTAATTTCTATACCTAATAAAACGAATTATAAATCTTCACAGAATATTGTCACAGTCTCAAAAGAAGTGTTGTAATCCCAATTCCAAATATAAATGCCTTATTACATATGTTATTATTCAGACTAATAAAAAACCAAAGGATTAAAATGACCACTTACTAACATAATACAAGATACACTTACTGTTAAAGCAACATTGTTTTAACCCTTTGAATGTTTGATTCATACAGACTAGAGTATCACACAGATAATTTAAGATATTTAAAATAATTAGTTTACTTACATATTAAAAGCTCAAAGAGGACATGTTAAAATATATTGAATAAAAATATCAAAATATATATGTTTAAAGATGAATAATTCTAACTGAATGATTCTAACTTTTATATGATCAAATTTGCATCAAAACTTGACGGACCGGGAATATACTACAAATCGGATAACTACAGGTCCATTGTGAAAGTTCAGCAGATGAAAATACATTGTAAGCAGATAGGTGTAAAACGAGAAAAAGACTATAAAAGTAGAAAAAGAGAGAAAAGTTCGTCTTCCTCCAAAATTCTGGAATGACGAGTAATCATAATTTCGACAGAGTCAGTAGTATTCCGAGATTGAGATATATAATAAGCCTGAGGCTGCGTTCACATCACAGGGAGACAGTCCGATACGAGTGAGTAGGTACATTATACAAACGGAATACCTACCCCAACCTATGCCAACCTACCCGCCCATTGGCATCAAACCAACTACCACTACTATTATCGCTACCGCCACTACTCACCCTCTTATTGCGTGACTGTATCCTTGAGAGGTACTCCCACTATCTACAGGGTGATTTTCTTGAAGTATTTCCTTATAATGACACTTCGTTCGCATAGTTTCGTTTCAACCACCCAAAGGCTCACTGCTTTTGAGATAACTGTCACAAAAAGTAAAATGTTATTATTTACTACTTATGACTATGAGTATTTACCATGAATATATAATTTTATCATTTTACCATGTAATTGTTTATAAATTTTTATGAAGTACAAATTTTCGAAAAAGATTTTTTCGAAAATTTTTATTGTAATTAAGTAGTATTAAGTAGTATTAAGTTTGCACAATGCAACAAACATAATATTAGAGATCTTAATGTTTAAAACCTACTTGTTTATTATGTTTCTCCAGATATATCAACGTTAGTTTTATACCTATTGAGTAAATTGCTTCTCTAATAAATGTCATTAGTTCCATCGGCAATTTGCTCTTGTTAAATAATTAATTGAATTTGTATAATTTAGTAAGTAAATAATAGTCCAATAATTTTCATGTATAACTGTTGTATTCATAAATTTTCACAGAATCAAAAATAATCGTTATTATTATAAAAATAAACCATCTTTTGTGTGTTTTATTATTCATTTTCATAAACTCTTGATTTTATTATCGTATTATAAAAGTTTTATTTCTATTTTCATTAAAAATATATAAATATTAAATAAACAAGTAATAAATGTCTCGTGCTTAATGTAAAAATACTAAAATTATTCATATAATCAATGCAATACAATAAAATAATAAATAATATAATCTATCTATTAGAAAAATATATTTATTTTATTTTGATTTAATATATACCGTAATAAGATTGAAAACTTTTTAAGTATTCTTCTTATATTTTAATTAGCGGTAAAAATACACTATTTAAAATCATTTATTTTTTAATTATTTAAAATATTAAATTGTAATTATTTATTATTTAATATTATTTAAAACATTGAAATTGTAATATTGAGAAAAAAATTAAATAAAAACTTATAATTTTGAATTAATCAAATTTTTACTTATATATTAATATAAAACTTGACAACTAATTAATAACAACCACCTAAGTAATAAAAATTAATATTTAAAAAAAAGTTCGTTTATTCTTATATATCTTAATAACTTTATTTATAACATGATAATTACTATTGATAATACCTTGTATATTGACTGTCCTTTTTATGTTTTTTAAATGTCATTATTTTTTATTGAATATTTCCTACAAATATTTTTAATTTCTCTTTTGCAAACCACAACTTCCAATATTAAGTTAACACTCGTAATACTTCCAATATCAAGTTAATAATCGTATTGAAATGTCCTTAATTCCATCCAAAAAGAAATTTTATAAAGCGTCATCAATTTATATTTATACATCCTCCTATAATATCGTACAACGGAGCGTCCCCAATACAATGTTCCTTTAAAATATATATCAGCGAACATAAAGTGTATCATCGTATTATTGTGTTATTATTGAAAATAAAAAAGGTAATTTCAAGGTATGTCACCCGTTAGATACGCCTACAGATATACTGATACGACAAAGAATTGATACGTTCCTTTCGTAAACGTCTCTCTTTTTTTCTTTCTCTTTCTCCTTTTCGAGCAAGAGTACCGATAGACCGACAATGAAGCACATCTGTAGGTACCACGAAACAATGGCTACCGAGATTGTGGAACCTATTGCGGATAGTATTCCATAATATACCCTGTTGTTTCCGCTCCCTCGGATAGAGCTACCAGCGTGCTCGATGAAAATATATGGCCCTCTTTCCAAGGTCTATCTAAACTGACACTAGCTACGCTTGTTATTTCTCCGTGAATTTTCTTTACACCTTTATTTTTAATTTTCCCTTCTTATTATCATTGATATCCATCGTTATGTTTAATTTGAAGTTTTGCATAAACAATCGCTATTATGATATCGTATTGGGTTTGTTCCAAATGAAATAGCTGAATTCATTATAAAATTCCTAGTATTTTGCTAGTTTTTATCATTTCTGAAAATAACATCAATCAAATATTTATTATAAGAATTAGTATAATTAGTAATTGTTAATCATGATTCGCCATATTCACTATATTTTTTTATTTTGCTGCAAGTCGTTTCAAGTTTAATATACGTTTAAACAAGTGTAACGATTGCATATTTAATACTACATCATTAATGGAAAAAGTAGATCAAATAACACAGAATAGGTACAACCTGGAAAAACATTTAAAATCACATAAATCATAATTTTACATAAACTTTGATTAAATAAACCAAAATGAAAAATTTATTGGATGTATTACATATATAATAACCATGTAGAAATATAGTACAAACAAAATAAGTTATATAGTTATATAGATACATATTTAATTTTCGCGATAACATTGAATACCTACATGTTTTTAAGTGATTAGAGAGCTGTCATTCAGAGGTACTAAACAATATTTATTGTTGTGGAAGAGTAATTAGTTTTTAAAAAATTCTTTCCTCACCGATACTGCAATTAATATTTTTATAACAAATATTTATTTATTATATCATCGACGAACCAATCTTCTGTAAAATGCAAATGGTCTCCATCTATGGAAAGAAAATGAAGTCTTCCAGTATCATGTAACTTTTTTAATCCTAAGCGATCCTAAAAAAAACACTACTTTATTGATATATCCATAAAAAAATTTGTTTTATAATTGGAATTATTTGCTACAATTGTATTATTTACAATACAATAGTAATTATAAATGGTAATTATAAATGGTTATAACCACGCATAGTACTTGTAATCATACGAAAATCAATTTTCTTAAATATTATTTCATCGTAATAATGTAATTTTAATAATATATTATAATCTAGTACCTTACGATACAACTCAGATTGTTCTAATGTTTCAATTGATGATGTTTGTCCTGTTTTATAGAATCCAAATAATTCTGATTCTGGAGGCCAAACAATAGTATCATTAATAAATTTTACTAATACCATGGTATGTAATTTCTGAAGATTCTCCTTATACGACTAGAAAAAATTTAAACATTATTTAAAACTTATAACTTAATTTAAATTATAATTATTATGAATCATGTTGTTTAAGGATAAGATATTTTTCTTTATATTTACATAAAAATTTTATATTTATATAAATACACACTTTTTTTATCTTATGCATTAATATACAAAAGAAAATAATAGATATTCGATGTCTTTATCCATTTATTTGAAAAAATTTAATATACAAAATATATTATGTATATTAAATTTTGTCAAGCAAATGGATTTAATATAGAAAATATTAAATGAGATTTATAGAAAAGGATAGAAACAAAATCGCCGTTCTTTAGTAATTTATTTTGAGTGAAGACGCGAGGGAAAAATACTCTAATCACTACCTATCCTTCTCTTTCCTTTTGTTTCTCTCTCATTGTTTTATTTCCGCGAGTTTTTGGCATACACTAGTTTTATATACTGGACTTCAATAAGTAAATACTTCTAATCTATTATCAAGTTCTTATAATACATTAACAATTTATTAAGAATATTACAATTACAAAATGATTGTAATTTTTAATACAATAATGTTATAATTAAAATTTAATTTAAATTAATTTTAATACCTATAGATAACTTACTTCGTTAATATAACGTTCATTGTTGATGTCAGCTAAAAATATACTTTTCTCTTTATATTCTTCTTCTCGGTATGGATCATGCCAATAGGTAGCTTGAACAAAATTTTCTTGGACTGTGCTACAATGAAATAAAATAATTTTATAACGTAAATAATTAGCTGAGATTAAAATATTCATTCAATGCTTACGCATTAATTATTTAAATTAATGTTGCAAATTTAAAAAAATAAAGGTAAAAATTAATAGTAAATACTTTAAGTAAACTCCATATTTGATCACGCGATTTATATAGTCGCAAATTATACGATTCGATGTTCCACAATGTGGTAAGCCAAAAACGCCTTGATGTTGGCCACCCAAAGATATAAAATTTTTAACGGGAGGATTGGGACATCTTTGAATTACCGCTCTTCTGCAATGTATAATAGTAAATAATTACTACAATACTATTATTTGTGATTAGTACTTATACATATCGAACATATAAATAATGTAACCTTTTTTTTCCAAATCATTTGTGTCATATGATTTTATTAATCTCCTTCTAAATAATACTTACAGTAACTGAGCGCCTTGAGAAAATCCAATGGCATTATAACCATTTTTAAGACGTTCATTCTTTATAAGTTGTTGACAAACTTTTTGTACTTGCTCATTAACCTTTCCAAAATAACTATGTTCGACGTCCTAAAATGTTATAGATAAATGCCAGTGAAATATTATATCTTCTGTCTTCTTTTATTTTTTATATGAGAGATTTTACGAAATTAAAATTGAGACATCTACTAAACTGATAAATTTTCAACATAAATTATTATTATTTTTATCGAGAATGTTAAGCTACATCGATTGATAGATCAAAAAATATATATTCTTTTAAAAAAGTGTAGGTGACCTAGAAGTCTCCAAAACCCACCCAAAATCTCCACCTAAAGAAAAATCATTACCACCATATTATGACTTTCTTTGTACTGAATAATTTTCATTAACAAAATTTTTTTATATTTCCAAGAGTAACAAAGATACTCAAGGTGCTAATTCTTATTGGACCACCCTATACTAATAAACTTCTTCTAAAATATTTTTTTTTTCATTAAACTATTAAAAGTAGTTTGAATATCTTGAATATCATTCCATTATTGTCCAATAAAATTATAATGCTATTAGAATATTTAAAGTTACGGAAATACTCGCCTCTATCTCATTATTTCCTAATCGAATAGAATACACATAAATACCGGGTACTGTATTCTCTATTAATTTTTTAATTGCCCCCAAGCTAAATGAAAAACAGCAACTGTCTCCTGAAATTTATACATTTTATGTTTGAGTTAAAAAAAAAATATAAATATAAATATATTATATAAAAATAATGAAAATCTTCACCCATTCCATGCCACAAAACAACCGGAAGAGAATCAGCTCGAACGCCATTAAATTGAGTTATATACAAAAAAAAATATAACAGTAGAACATGTTTTCTCATTGTAAACATTATATCACTTTTTATATGCAAATGAAGTGTATATTATTCCTATAAGAGAAAAAAATTGTATAGTAGTATGAAGTATTATTTTTATATTATCATTTTCTCGGTGGAATATTTCAGCCAAGAAATTTGGTATGCGCAAGCACATTTTTCAGTTCTTCTATGTAAAAAATATTATTGAATATACTGTTAAAATTATCATTACGGAAATGTTATAACATAATAATTGTTTGTCACGTATACATGATAAATATGTATGCATATGTAGGTAATATGAATATTTATATGTGTATATGAATGTATATATAAGATAAAAATAAATTAATAAATATAAAATAAAATATTTCTTGTATTTGTATATGTACGTGCACGAGAAAAGATAAAAATAAATTAATAAATATAAGATACAAAAGAGATCATATTTTTTAATAACCTTAATGATAGATCAAAATAAAACTTAAAAGATAGAAAAAAAGACATTCATATAAAAAATATGAATAATCTTCATATTCTTAAGATGTTGTTTTTTAATTACGTAAATTATTATTTTTTAACCTCTTAGGCACGGCTGGGTAATTTTGCGTGGGTTGTTTCTTTGTACGGCAGTTTGACTCGAATTACGTGTAAACAATACAGCATTGCAATATGTGACGGAAAGCCACTATAATGGCGCATTATAATATAAGATGACATCCGCGAAAGCCACTATAGTGGCACATCGTGCTTAAGAGGTTAATATTATCAATTCCCATATATTCGTCCGTATTTTTAACATCATTCTGTTATTAAAAGTCAACAAGAAATTTCAAAGGAAGAGTTATATAATTCTAATTTGACATTTCATGTCAATGATAAGATTTAAGCCTTTTATTTCCCTTTAAATTTTCTTAAATTTCTGTTTCGATAGTCAAAACTTATTAATTCTCAAATCCATTTTCATTGTATTTCTTTCCTCAAGATAAAATCGAACAGTGATTAAAATTTACATTTTCCGATGATTGCGACAAATAATTAGACATGTATTTAAAGACACAACTGACATACATTTTCATTAAAAATTACTTGTACTATTCAAACATAATTTAGTTATCAATATTTTCAATTAGTAGAATAATTTAGTTATCATAATGTAATAATTTGATGCACTACTTTTTTTCATAAACAGTACAAAAATTTTATAACGAATGGTAAATACCATTCTTTTGTTAAATGGTTTTAAATACTTAATTTCGTTTCGAGATGGATTTTATCTACTAAGAGGAAGAAAAGGAATATGATAGAGTTAATTTTAATAACAAAAATATATCACAATAAAGACAATTTCATCTACGTGTATTTCTGTAAAAATTAAAAATATTGAAAATATTTTTCAAATGCATTATTGAAATTTTTTCTTGTATCTTTGACATATCCTCTTTCCTCTTTTCGTAAAAAAGAGGTACAATAAATGTGCAAAAATTACTTGCAATTACTATTATTTACAAAAATTTCACTAACTACATGCATTTTTTACAATATCATAATTAATTAAATGACATAAGAAATAATTATATACTATTTCAATTGATTACATTATAGAATTAATAAATTAAATATATTATTGAGCTGATGATATTTACATAAAATACATATAAAATGATTGGAATGCATGAAAATTGTTTAAGTTTGTAATAAAAGAAATTATAAGCAAAATTACGTTTCCATTTTTTAAATAAAAACTTTACCAATAATAATAATTTTAAGCAAAAAAATAATAATACCATAATTTATTAGCATTATGAGATAAAATAAATCTTATTACAATAATAAGAAATGTTCGCTATCATTTAAATTAAATATTATAGTAAAATTTTATGTATATATTTTTTATATGATTTATTCTTCAATATTAGCGGTTTGGAAATTGATTATAATTTCTTATATGTGTAATTTTAAATTGCAACAATAAAATTTTGTTTTAACAAATTATCTCAATTTTTCAAATTCATAAATTTATATCTAATTAAATAGAATCAACAATGCATAACAATAAATTTAAAATATTTAGGAAATAAATACTTTTAAAGAAATATAATGAAAGTTTTATGTAATTAACTTTCTACTTTGATTACATAAATGTTAAAACATACATATGTATCTATATACGCAAGTGCATAATACATATGTAATTAATAATAATACAAAAGAGTCAATAATTGTAGTTATAATAAATCTTTTTATGCGGTATATTATTTTTAAATTAGATGTTTCATCTGGACATTTGTAAGACAATTATAAAAATATGTACGTTAAATATTTATTTATAAAACTTGTTTCCACCGCTTAAAGAGAAGTTAATAATATATTATAATGACTTTAAATTTACTATTAACTATTTATTTACTTTTATTTAACAAACAATTAACCTATGCAGTGAAAATCAAAACTGATTTTAATAAACAAATTTATAGGTTATGCAAGCTTATCTTAAAACTTACGATACTGCGAAAATTCGATGTAATTTAATGAAATACATATTAAACTATAACAAGTAATTCTTAATTATACGTACAATAAAATCAAACAATCAATAATAAAATCAATATAAACTATTTATCCGACAAACTGTATAATGTGACTCACTGAGAACAAACTACGTTTTGGTGAAACTTAACTTGACAGAAAGTTTAAATAGTATGGATATAGATATCGGAGTAATACTAAGAATTGGATATGACATAATAGGTTAATGCAGTATTTATTGCAATAGATTCCAACACATTAATCATTCGAGAAATTCAACAGTTTATATGTACATAGATTACAATATTATATAGATGATCATCTACGTAGATTACATTAGTTGTAGATGATTATTTACAGAAATGACAGTAGACTATTAAATAAATATTTTTAATACGAAGTTATAAAAGCTGATTTATCATTGGTTGTAATTAAAAAAAAAACATAATATATATGTAATGTGAGTAAAAATATGATTTCATATAAAAAATCAGGAAAAAATTCAATACACAATAATGTGTAAAATTTATAATTATACATATAGTCATACACAAATATATAATATAGTTTCTATATTAATTAAATATTGTTTATAATATTAAGCATTATTATAATATAAAATGAATGTATACTATTAAGATTTTTAGATAAATCTATTTCATTATTTTTTTAATTTATTTTAATGTTCCTCTTCAACCTATAATAGTAGTATTCTGACTTTTTAAATCTGTATATGTATGTATAAATACGTGTAATTTACATTTAAATGTATAAATTATTATTTTTTGTATAAATTGTGATTGCTATAATAAATAATAAATGATGATATTTAATAATGGCTGTGATTTTATTCATTATCGAAAAATGTAATGAATGTTTAATTTTTATTTTAATTCTAATATTATAGAATTATTAAAAACAGAAGTAATAAAATTTGACAAATTTAAAAATTACAAGTTTTATTTATTGTACCTACACATTAGCATGCAAATATCTATCAGAAATCAATAATCAAATATCAATCAATCAAACTCTGTGATTTAATATATAGTATACATATATATAATTTTACATGATATATATTACTATATATTTGTAAGTACATTGTATATTTAAAACTTTTAAGACTTACTATAAATATAAAAAAATAACAATATATATACGTATATATATTACTTCAAAGAAAAATAATAATAGATTGTATTTACTTTCATTGTATCAATATGTGGAGATATGTCATAATTTAAAAAGTTAATATTTAACAAATTTTTAATCAAATCTTAAATGTTTTTTTCTTTCTAATTTTCAATTGAATCGTTTATTCGAACTTGTTTAAAAAAGGACAAAGTGAAAATATAATATTTAAAAAATTTAGTTCTTAATAGAAAATTTACGTCACATCTCGATAACGTCACGCGTGATTAGAGTAAACGCATATAAGATAGTTGGTATGACACATAACCTAGAAATATTTAACTTTCAAAACGACTTGTGCAGAACGTTTTGTTGTGATTATTATGTAAAATAATTGTGGAAACCTTTAAACACTATAAATACAATTTTAATTTTTGCAATTTAATATTTATTTTCGAATTTTTTCTATCGACTTTAAAAAAACATGACCATTTATTTCATAACTTTCTGCATTTATAAGAAAACTCATGTACAATTTAAATCAGCATGTGTGTAATTCTGCATTTTCAGAAAATACGTTTTTAGCAGAATAATTGTGAAAATTGTAAATATATTAACAAATATATGCTTATTTTCTTTAAAATTTAAATTTAATGTTTGTATTAAGTGATAACCTTGGAAAGTTTGAGACAAAGATATAGTTGAAAAAAACTGAATGATTGGAATAAATATACTCTAAAAGGTAATTTAGCAAGATATATTTTATTAATATAGTTATTAATAATGATTAATTCCATGGATTTATAGGATGTTTTTGCAAAATAATGATTGTTGTCCAAATGCAATTATTTTTATTAATCAATAATAAAAGTAATTTTAAAATACATGAGGGGAAATAGAGAAGGATCTTTTCATTGCCATGTGAAGACCAGCTTTGTTATTTAAGGTTGGTAAATTTATTTGAAATTACTATAAAATTATTATTTTATATCACATATTGTATATTACAATATATTATGATAAGCATTTATTAAATTACAATAATCGTATATAATGTTTTCTATAATATATTATAATATTAAATTTCAATAATTAGATAATCATGGACGAAAGGAGGGTTGCAGATTACTTTGTTATTGCTGGTTTGCCTGGACAAGACAATGATTTTGATAATGATAATGAAAACGATCAGTTAGAAGATTGGTATCAAGAAGGAACACATGTAAAAGACATGACTATGAAGCCTCCTATCACTGATCTTGCTATTATATTTCCGGCATTGGGTGAAAAATGCCCAGAAGGATTTGTTTTGCTAGAACATACTGTTTCAGGCTTACCAGCAGATTTAAATCATGGAAGTTTAAGAACAAACGAATGTTACTTATGTTACCGCCGGGGGCGTGATAAACCACCATTAGTGGATATAGGTAAGGTAAAAAATTAAAAATTAAAGAATATTGAAAATCTTTATTAAGTATTTTTTCTAACAATATTTTGTGTTTTACAATTAGTAAATGAGATATTGTAACATATTATTATATGTTTCATGTTGCATATTTATACAACATGTTTTATAAGTATATAAATTTTATTAATTGTACATGTTAATACTTTTTAATCTTTATATTTAAAAAATATTGTAATTTAAAAATCTCAAGTAACATGCTATTGAAGTATGTGAAAAAGCTAGTTAATTATATCAGTTTAATTTACTGCAAAATTAATGTAACAAGATTCTTAAAACAAGAATGTGCAATATTTACTATCTATGCATATAAACAAATTTTCAGAAACAAAAGATTGAAAATATTTCAATTAAAATATTATAAAATAAATAAAATATTTCAAATAAGTAAAATTTTTTTGTTTTTAATTGTTTTGTTTTTTTAATTAAGTCAATTTTTTTACATTTTATATAATATATGAATATTATAAAATATGAGTATTGAAATTAAATTTTGATTTTTAATCAAACAGATAGAATCAGTAAATATCATAGTTCTTAAATATCTTCGCCCTTCCAGTTTTGCATTTATTTGGAGAATTATGCAAGACAGAAATATTTTACTCAAGTTGAAACTAAGGGGATATATGTAGTATGATTAAGTAATAAATAGATTTGAAATTCTTCTAGAAGCTATATTCAGTTTTGTAAGTAATATAGGTATATGATAAATCATTAAAAATAAATCAGTTTAATAGTTTTGTTGAATACTTTAAAAAAATGTTAAAAGAATTTAGAAAAGGAAAACATTAAATTAGTAAATTGTTATTGACATGTTTCTTATTCAAATAAAAAACATCATAATTCGTTTGTAATAGATATTATTCAATGTATCAGCATATTTATATTTATATTTTATTGTACTTTACATATAAAAATTGTACACTTTCTTTTCTTTTTTATAATTTTAAATATATTTTTTATCTAATGTGATTATCTATCTTTGTCTGTTAAGAAGTGTTAAGAAAGCTGTGAAATTTATTTGTATTATATCAATATAATATTACTATTTAAAAACTAGTATTTTTAAGAAATTTTTTTTAAATTTTAAAACTAAAAAAACTTGTTTATTAATTAGCTTGATTAGTAAACAAACTAATTAGCATTAATATTTATTTGACGTAATTTTTATAAAGAAATACTTGTCTATTTTTCTTAATATTTATCTACTTTATAATATAAGAATATAATATATTTTAAATAACTGAATTATGTTTAAAGTTATGAAAAAGAAGAATGTGTAATACATAAAATATTTATATTATAAAAAATATATTAAAATATTATTCACTGTATTTAATGATGTTTATAGCAATTGTTAGAACTAAAGTCTTTATTATTTATATTGTGAATGTAACATTTTAAATTTCATAAAAAGATATTGCATGTTCTTGGTATCATCTTAGAATAGTGTACTTCATAGAAATTAAATTCATACATACGATTCATTAGGATTCTTAATAAAATATTCTTGATATTTCAGTTATATTTATAACAGTATACAGTTTAAATAGAGATATATCAAATAATAGATAAAAAGATGTTAAAAATTTATATCTGTATATGTACAAAGTACAAGTATTTATAATTTAGATACTAGATATTTTTTATCATAATAGTTATGTATGTGTTATGTTTATATTTACAAAAAAAAAATTATATGTTATATTTATTCATCTTGTTGTTAAATTTTTTTTTATTTATCTTTTAAATTTTTTTTTGTTCATTATTGTATATTGAAACTTTCGTGATTATATAGTATTAAGTACTATTGTTTATAGAATTACGTACTATTATTTTACGATTGTTAAAGAGTATATGTTACAGGTGTAATATATGATGGCAAAGAACGTATAATGCAAGATGCCGAAATGATATTAGAAACACCAAAAGGACACTTAGCTAATGTGAATAACTCAGCAGCAAGAATATTTGTGACATATAGACGAGCAAGTCGTAAAATGCCATGCAACTCGTTAGTTGTGACTGACATTTGTGTAATATTGACAAATAAAGGAGAAACTCCTCCACATGCATTTTGTGTTATCAATAAAAATTTGAACAAAGGCATGTTGGGTAGTGATGTGTTTCTGTGCTATAAGAAATCTATGAATCGGGCAAATTTAATATCTTTTAAACCTACAATATTGTATAAATATCCAATAGTTGATTACAGCAGTTTTATCTTTCCAAATTCTGTGGCAATGTTTTGTTTGCCAATGGGAGCAACAATAGAATGTTGGCCTAAAGTGGCATGTAAACCTAAGCCAGTATTTTCCACATTTGTTTTAACAGTTGCTGATGCAGCTCAGAAAATATATGGATCAGCAATAACATTCTATGAGGAAATTGAATTAGACATGGATATTTCAAATTTTAAGGAAAATCAACAACCCGCTGATGTACTCATGGAAAATATGAAAAATTCTGGTATAGAAAATTTTTTAATTTTGTGTGTGTGTGTGTGTGTGTGTGTGTGTAGCATTTTATTTACGTAATAATGATGTTATAAATTCTGAGAAAAAAATTATAAATAATTGAAAATTTTCATTGTATTACGTAAATATAACGTCATAAAGTTAATTTAATAAAAGAAAATAAAAAAATCTTTTTCTTGTTTCAGTTGAACATGCAGAAATTGA